GGGAGCAGCTCAGCTCCCGCTGCCCCGAGCAAAGGGAGGCGCCCCCAACCCGGGATTTGGCCGGGATTTGTGGCTGGCTGATGGAATAACAAAGCTCGGGATGGGATTTTTGGGACAGCCGAGGGGGGAATCACAGAATTCCGGGGTGGTTTGGGTTGGGAACCCCAAAATGAGCACAGGGACGGCTTCCGTAGGGAAGGAGATGCCGAACACGGCGGATCCTCGGGATGCGGCCAAGTTCCAGTGGGGTTTAGGAGCCCAAATCCAGCTCGTGGATGCCCAAACCCAAACAATTCCCCACGCCGGATCCATCACTTCCTAACCCCCAACCCCCCCGGGCTCCCCGAGCTCCTCCAAACCCCTTCACAAACCAACTTGGATCCCATTTTTTCCTGCCCAAAAAAACCCCTCACAAACAGAGATTCCCCTGCAGCCGCTCTCAGGAAATCAACAGCACGAGAGCAACCGCCCGATCTGCGGCGAGAAAAAAAAGCAGGAGAGAGGCAGGAAAAATGATCCCTGCGCCAGTGACAGACAGCTGGAGCTCCGGGAAAGCCGGGGGGATGCGTTGTTCCTTGGAAATTGTCTATCCATGACCTTAAAACGGCGGCGGAGGAGAGCGGGGAGGGGAGGCGAGGCAGCCGGGGCTGGGTTTGGCACAAGTTCCCCCCTTTTCCCGAGCAGGTTTTATTCCCGATGCTGGGATGCTCGGGATGCTCGGGAAAGGGGCTCGGAGCAGCAGCCGCAGCCCGGCAGGATCCGAACCTCGCGGCCAAGGGAAAAGAGGGGTTCAGGGAATTCTTTCCCGAGCCCAGAGCCCGGCTGGGCTCGGGCTGCGCCGTGCCCGAGGGATGGATCGGGAGCAGGCGGGGAAGAATCGGCTCCTTTGTGTGGAGCTGGCCCCGCGCAGCCCCGCAGAGCCGCGGCTCCCCCGCCCCGCGCCCTGCAGCGCCCGCCGGCGCTTCCCGGAGAGCAGAAAGTCCATTAAAAATCAAAAATAAACCCAAAAAAACCCAAAAACCGGGGAGATGCGGAGCAGGCTGCGCTCGTGCCTCCATCTCCCGGCGCCTGGAAAAGCTCCCGTTTCCCGGGGTCTCGGGAAGGAGCGGCCACCTGAGACCCGCCGAGCGGGAATTGGGGGCAAAGAGGAGGAATTCGCCTCAGATGGACACGGAATGAAATCCCACGGGTGGCCCAGTGGGGTGCGAGGAGGGCAAAGTTTCCTTCCCCGGGCGGTTTCCCCTTCCCGGCGCCCCGGGTTTGGGGCTGGCGTGGGGAGTCCCGGGGTTTTTGGGAGCTCGGGAGCTGCAATCCCCCAGGACAGAGGGAATTTGGGGGATGCTGCTCCTTGTTTGGGATTTGAGGATCCCAAAGGGGCAGGGGGGGCTGCGATCCCCCAAAAAACTGAGCTCGTGGGGGTCCCCAAAGCACAGCCCCCCCTCCGTGTCTGGAGCAGGGCTGGGATGCGCAGCCGGAGCTGGGGAGCAGCGGGAAAGGGGACACGGGGCGGCCCCATGGATGAGACCCCCGGGCCCTCGCGCCCCAAAAACGGTGCCCCAAGAACGGCTCCACCCCAGTGCCCGGGTAGGGGGTGCCACGTTAAAACCCCCCTCTTTAGGGGGTGCCCCAATAACAGCTCCCACACCGGTACCGGGTTATGGGGTGCCCCAATAAAAGCTCCCACACCGGTACCGGGTTATGGGGTGCCCCAATAACAGCTCCCACACCGGTACCGGGTTATGGGGTGCCCCAATAACAGCTCCCACACCAATTCCCAGTTATGGGGTGCCCCATTAACAGCTCCCACACCAATTCCCCGTTATGGGGTGCCCCATTAACAGCTCCCACACCGATTCCCGGTTATGGGGTGCCCCAATAACAGCTCCCACACCAATTCCCAGTTATGGGGTGCCCCATTAACAGCTTCCACACCGATACCGGGTTATGGGGTGCCCCATTAACAGATTTCACACCAGCACTGGGTTATGGGGTGCCCCACTAACAGCTCTAGACCTCATCCCCCACCACCAAACCCCAATTCCCCACTCCAAACCCGTTCTCCTCTCCGTGGGTGCCCCCCATCCCTCCCCCAATCACCCCAAACGCCAGGGCGGGGGCGCCAAGCCCCGAGCCCGCCCCGTGACCGGAGGGGTGCGGGGGTCACCCCATCCCTCCCGCGGCCCCGGGGGTGTCCCTGTCCCCTGGGGGGTGACACTCACCCAGCGCCAGGTGCCGCAGGTGCCAGAGCAGGAGCCACAGGGGCAGGGGGCTCATGGCGTGCATGGTGCCCGCGGGGGCGGCTCAGCGGGGCCCCCGCGCCGGGCGGCGGGCGGGCATCGCGCCGGGCACCGGGAGCGGCTCGGCCCGGTCCCGTCCGGGAGAGGGATCAGCCCGGTCCGGGGGGTCCAGGAGGGGATGGGAGGGGGCTCGGCCCGGTTCGGGGATCCGGTTCGGGAGGGGGCTCGGCCCGATTCGGATGGTCCGGTTCGGGAGGGGGCTCGGCGCTGCCCCCCCGGTGCAGCCGCTCCGCCGCCGCTGCCGCCCTTAAGCCGATTTGGAGCAGCCGGAGCCGAGCGGGGCTGGAGCGGCCGCCCCCGGCCCCCCCGGGCTGAGCCCGCCCCCGGCCCGGCCCCCGGGAGGGGCTGA